CAAGAAATTTCAATGCATCATGTCATGAATGTTGAGCGCTTGGCAATCAGCCCGCTTATAACAGAACACAAACTATTTTGTTATCGTAAAAATCTACCTTTCAAGTTAACTAATCGTGTTTTGTCGGCTTTCTTAACCCAGTCACGGATAATGGGTTGCTTAGATGCTAATCAACCAAAACATGCATATTATTATGCATTAGATTTAAAGTCCAATTCTTATCCATAGCATACCTCTAAAGCCCTGCCCGGCTTCCGGTGCCCTTGCGGAGCTAATAACGAGTTGTCATATAGTTTTTCTATGATCAAAATTTAGCAAATAATCAAATACTAAAATATCAATACATCACCAACTTATTATCCGTTGTAATATCACAATTAAAACCCATAAAAACAATCAAACAAGTGTTATTTGAATACAATCCAACGTCATTAAATAAATATAACTAAAGTAGTCAAGTTTGTAGTTTTGACACAAATACAATTATTAAGTCATTATTATATTTTTTATGGAAAAATATTTTATTGTGTTAAGTGTAATCAAGAATTTAGTATAATTGTATTAGTTAATTTAGTATAGCTAATTAATAATTTCTATTAGTAAACGTGTATAATTAGTAGTATAACTGATAATATTAATTATATTACATATACTAATGTCCATTATATAATACATATAACTAATAATATTATTATTATAAGTTTGTAACTAATTAAATTAAATATTAAATATATAATTATATACATACATATATATGTTTGTTATTTGTTTAACGGGTGATTGGGCGGGGTATACTCCTCCGCCCCATTAGCCTCCTGCAGGACGGGTGCTCGCGACCACCCGTCCCAATTATCATCCCTATCCAAAATAGTTATTATTATTTTTTATCGATACAATAATTCTTATTTTATACCTATTTCTACTTTGTAGTAAAGGAAAAGGGTTGAACCAAAGAGATAAATGGTGAACCAAATAAGGACTGAAAAGAGATCAATAGAAAATTCAAAGATAATTAAAGCGCCACTAGATTAGGCGGGTGCACAAACGTCTGTTGGTAAGATTTTTAGAGAAGTTTGGAGAATAATGCAAACCGAGAGATGCGATCATGTGACCTACATCCATCCGGAAAAAAGTTTTCCAGTCTCTCCTTGATGGCCAATGCAGCCTAATTGGTTATTTGCAAAATAGTTAGTTCCACTAATTATTTCTTGTTGCGAATATGAGAGATGTGTAATCTCTTGAGATTATCTAAATAATTTATAGTACCAGATCATACTTTTATCTGTGCTAGTGATTATAATCCGAACAATCCAAACTTTTATTTATTAAAAAAAAACTTATTATCCTTTCAAGTGAGTGCGTGTGTGTGTTTTATTTTTTAAAATTATGGGGAGAAGTTAGAAGGCAGGTAAATGCCACCCCGAGACAGTTGTGAAATCGTAAGAGGCAACACGGCAAATTACTACATTTGAGATCCCAACAAAATACTAAAAAGTAAAAACCCACCAAAACACCCTGAGAATTCTGCGCAGTGCAGACATGCACGGCAATCTGCCGCCACCAACAACATGATCCAGCCCTCGCGTGATTCTCATCCGGTGGACCCCGGATTATCAAACCAACCTGTCAGGCCCAATTCCGGCAACTCGATCGACGGGCCTGATCCCATCCCACTCTCCATCGCTTATCCACATCCCATTTCCACCTTTTACCCCCGACAATCGCCCTGTGTTTCGAGGACGTAACCGTCATTTCACTATGACGATCAACTCCAGCCTTAACTCAGCCGAGCCGATTCAAAAAGAAATATTTTAACGGATTACAGCCGGTCACCATGAAGACGTGTCGCGATGTCGGATCTTATCCTGACAGGGCCCAAAAGTAACTGTTTGGGTCGACGGGGTTGTACTCCGTAGCTATATTAGGTGTACGTACGTATGGAATGGGAAATATTTTCTGCGTGAAATTTGAAATTCGATTTGGAGTCCGCTCGTTCTTCGAGGCAGCTGGAGCGCACGAAAAAAAATTAAGAGAGAGAAGGGAGAAAGGGTGGGAAGACGAGAGAAAAAGAGAAGGAAAAGGCCCGCCATCGGTTTGCCTTTGAAAGATTTTAGGATTCAAAGGAGAGCAGAGGGTGGGGCTTTGGTAGGCCCACTCCCCACATGCTTTGCATTTATTACTTTCACTCAATCTATATATATATATTTCCTACTTTTACTTTGATTAATTTCGAGTTAGCCCTCTAATGTTTGGGGGCATCGGGTCCGGACAGCAGGAATTAGTCGAGCCTCGTAAAGATTGAACCGGACCTCCCTGTATCGAAAAAAAAAAAAAAGAAAAAAAGTTAGCCCTCTAATGTAATGTATGTAGAGATGCGTACAATTGATTGTTTGCAAAAACATCTACTTTTGTTTTGTTTTGTGAGGTCGAGACTCATTTTCACACCAAAGGACTGCTAGCGTATTTAATGCCAAGTGAATGATACTTGCTACTAGTAATTATTACTACTACTTTCCAAAGATGATATTAGAGCTTTGATATGTTTCTATATATATATATATAGAAAGAGTGATGTGACATGAATTCGTTCCCGTTTATCATAATAGCACATATGAGGGTGCATGTTTTCTGCTTATTTCCTTTATAACTTTAGAGCATGAAAAAAGGTGCTGTCAATTTTTACATTTGTTTGGTAGCCTTTGGAATGTTTATATAGGGCTGTCGAGACTCAATATAATGAGCAGCTCTCTAATACTCATTAGCCCAACGAGCTAAGCTCGAGTACGTGATACAATACTTGTCTTGTCGAGCAACTCAAATGTATGTGTGTGTGTGTAAAATTGCTAAAATGTATATGTCTCTTGGATAATGTACACATTTTATTTATAAGTAAATGAGTTCGAGCTCACTTTTTTTTTTTTTTTTTTAGCGAGTTTCAATTCCCTAAATATTTATCGAGTGGATCTCCCATATTAGATAAGTATCCGATGGAGTTGAAATACAAATAGATTGTTCAAGTTTTAGCTCGAGAAAAATAATATTTGTGCTTTACTCAACCTGTATATGCCCTTATGTTTATTTCTATATTAGCCACTTAGATTCGAAATCCTAATAACATCCTCTTATCAACAGTTATAAAGACAGATATAATGAGAAGAAGGGCAAGAAATGTAGATTAGTTTTTAAAAAAACGTAGATCAGGTTTATTTGCAAACAAGTTAAGACCTAATAATGACCTAATAGCACGTGGTTTCAAATGACAAGCACTGGTAAAAAATCTGTATGTATGTCTGCGTTGTTTGATATACTTTCTTTCTGTCCTTAATGCAGATATTCGGACGAAATTGTGATTTTTATTAAAAAAAAAAATCTTGTAAGTTGATTCGTAAATTTGTATTTTAAACCCATTCCTTGTTCTCGATTGGGAAAGTCAAGTGATTTAACAACTAGCATTACAATTTTTGACAATGGAGCCAAAAATTTTTAAAGAACATTATGAAAATAAAGAAATATAATTAATGTCAAAAAATTAGGCAAATGTTAATCTCACTCTACTTTTTTATAAAGACACTCCCACTATCATTCTATATTATATGATTTTCATTTATTAAACTATATACTAAAAGAGCTAGTAGGAATGTTGTTATAAAAAAAAAAAAGTAGAGTGAGATTAACATTTTTCCAAAATTATACTATTAGATATCCATGTTTGGACCATTTGGGACCAATTTTATGCGGTACACTGCTTTTAATCTTAGGTACAGATAGTCGGATTTGGGGCAGGGACGGTCATCAGTATGACCGTCCCTGCACGGTTAAGGGCCAAGATTTGCCCTCAAAATTTTGTGCGGCTGAGATTACATCATGTAACTCGATTTCCGCGCCAAGTGTGGGGCCCATCACTATCTGTTGTAAAAATACATCCTGTGAAAAAAAAGTTACACGATGTACAAAGAAAGTTACGCGCAGTTGATAATGGTCAAAATTGCCCTGGACGGTTGCAGACGGTTGCACCTGCAACCGTCCGTGCCCCGAGTCCACAGATAGTCATCACCATCAAGTATCAACCCATCGCTGTCGTATCGCCAACAATTGTCAAGAAATAAATGTCAATAGATAATTGTCTCTAATCACAACAGAGAACTCGGATGATGATTTTGATCACCTAAAAGCCATTTTAAAACCTGGAGAATAATTCTGTTGTCTTTAAAGGGTACTTTCTTTTCCCCTACTGACTACGATACAAGTTCAAACTACAATAAATATAAACCATTTTAGGGTTATGGAACTTGTGGGCACCGTTGCGATTGCGAGACACCCTGAAAACATATTACGGTGTAGACTTGCAGTAAATTCACTCCAGTTTCTTCTTACCACCCGGTAGAAAGCTTTCAAACTACTCCAAATTCGACAGGCATTTTGAACAGAACAATTACTTGAAAAACCCAAAACAAGAAAACAACTCCCGACTAAATATTGCATTTCACCAGTTGTAAAATGAATAATCCGTAGGGACTACAGCGTCCCGGAAAATTTTTAGCTAAATTCTGTAAAATGTGTTTCAATCATCTTTTTTTTTTTTTATCCCACAAGCATTGACAGCTGCAAACTTTTCGTGGTTAATCACGCAAAAACATGCATTGAAAGCTAAAACATGGAACACCCGGTGCAAAAATCCTACAGAACATCCCTGGTGATGGCAGGGCAATTGAAATGTATTGATTTCCTTCGCATTAACGGAGCTAGTATTAAAATAGGCCATTACTCAGACAATATGGAAAATACCCACTTGAGATATTAATCGCACTCTACTTTTTGTTAATAGCATTCCCCCTATTTATTTTATCGTATGATTTACTAATAAATGAAAATCATACGATAAAAATGATAGCAAAAGTGCCATTAACAAAAAAATATAGTGCCATTAATAATTCTCCGTTCAATATTAGAAGATGAAGCTCGAAATCATTAAAAAAAAAGAAAAAGAAAGAGTCTATACGTAGTAGGAGAAGCAACCGTTTCATCATTCACAGAAGAATCAACGTCCAGTTTAATAAAAGGACACTCCCAAAGACAAAAGCAGGAAAAGAAAATGAACACAATAAAATCAATAAGCTCGGGAATTGCCCCTACCCCCGGGAGACACAGAACGATCCCTGTATCTTCCATAGGAGTCATTATCGTCACCCCTCCTACCATAGGGGGAGCGCGATCTTCCCCGATGATCCCTATGATATGGATCTCGATCATGGCGTCGACGAGGTGAGTAACTACGAGACCGTCTTGGTCCATATCCTACATAAACCAACAGAAAGTAACTAGTCAAAGCCAACCAAAAATTTCAACCAAGTAAAGCTTGCATGGTTCGTTCCTGTGAATGCAATCAAGCACACAGGAAGACAAAATGTAAATTACCTCGTCTTCCTCTCAGACCTTGATACCTTCCAGGGGTTGGAGTCCGACCACGTTTACGCTTAGCCTGCATAAATGGACAGAATGCACAGTATCCGTTCAAGTTCTGCTAGAAAAAGGATCTCTATTCTCTAACATGCTTTAGGCATGAATAGTATTTAAAGGAGAAAAAAAATCAAACGTGTTGTGTGGATGAGTCCCACAATCTTCTAGCAATTTTAATAGACTATTTTCTTTAACGCTTCCTAAGATACAACTTTATCCTAGTTGAACCCATCTTAGACAACAAATGCAACTTAAAACAGTACCAAAAAAAGAAAAAGGATTTAGTCTAGCAGTTTGCAGACCCCTCAAACTGATTCCTTTATTATTTAGCTCAGGAGCAAGACACAAACCTTCAATATTAAATGCAGACGTGAAAGAAAACCAGAAAAACTGAAGCAGCCAGAATTGTTTACTATACAGATTCTGTTACTGATGAGGTAAAGGAATTAAGGGCCTACAACCCTCTGGAAAATATTCGAGTTGATTCGATGAGTTTCAAACGTCGATGAAGAGCGCATGTCGTGAGGGATATGTTCAACGATTTAGACTTTAGAGCTTAGAATTTGACTTCGATGAAGCCACACAGACCAGACCTGCTGCCACAATCTACCAGGCAACATTTCTGAAGATAAGAATAGCTGGTAATGAAGTACTTCAGTCACATTTTACTACAATGAACACGCTCTTTTGACAGATAGACAGTACCTTCTCCACAGTAATTAATCGACCTTCCATCACCGAACGATTCAGATACTTAATACAACGGTCTGCATCCTCATTTGTTTCCATAGTAACAAAAGCAAATCCACGAGATTCTTTAGTGCGGGGGTCTGTCACTAGATGGCATTCAGTAACCTGAAACCAGAAAGAACAATGAAACAAATCAACCCAAATAGATAAAAGATACTGTTCTTCGTATATATCTACACCACCATTTAGCCAAGCACTAGATTTTCCAGTTTTAGGTATGCGCAAAAAATCAACAGATGCTCAGTTCTGATACTAAGACGACATTTACTTGTGTTAAACCCGCATTACCAGAACCTGTTATAGCAATATAGGAACATTAAAGGTTCAAAAATCAAAGACGTAAGGAGAACAACATATATGGATTTTATACAAGTAGAATGGCTGACAATCTCAACAACCCATCCTTCTTAATACATATCCCTAAAATGTTATGCATTTTTCCCCCAACTCGATTATGGAAATTGGAATTTAAAGATTGCAGACTAACAGAATCTACAATATTAGTTTTGCATTAAAGTTTTCAATAAATTTTAGATAAAACGCGTTCGAGGCATCTAAATTCGCTCATATTCATGTCTCAAAAATTAACCATCATTTGCCCAGCAAAAAAAGTAAGAAAGAAAATGAAAAACAATTTCTACAAGTTGAGAAACACAAATAACAACGTATATTTTGATGAATACACTAATAAAAAAACCATACCTTCCCTTCTCTGTTAAAAAACTTCTCAAGATCACTACTGGCAACCCTTGTGGACAGGCCTGTTACATAGAGATTATTCCCAGGATTAACAGCACCAGCAGAATCACGGCTCCTGGGGAAATATGACTTACATGTCATGTAAAATAATATAAAAAATTTCAAGATAACATGATTGATGTATTTACCTCACAGAAATGTATTAAAAAAATTTAGGCATAGAATTGTGAAATTCTTGAGAACCTTGTTAAGGCCAGTATAAAGTAATTCTAGTGGATGAAACTTGATGCAGGAGACATTTATTTTCAAATGGCCAAGAAAAATATAGTGGGAACAAACTCCTAGAAGATAAATAACCATTTTAACAGAAGCCCTTCTAAAGAATATACTTGATGTAGGCAGTCCAGAACGACAAACCAAGAAATCATTATATATTGATGCAATGCATATAACGAGAAACATGCAATTCTGCATACAAGTACTCAAATTAGGTTGCAACATAAGTATCAATAACTTTTGGGTCTTACAGTTCACATCTATGATTTACAAATACTCTGTGGTTGATTGTTATTCACGGCATTTTGGAATCCTTATAGAATAACTTACCATTCACTCAGAATATATACCTGGAGCGTCTCCTTGGAGACTTTGATAACGATCTTGACCGACGAACCCTAGGTGGTGGAGACAAAGAGCTGCGGGGTGAAGCAGACCTAGCAATACTTATAGTAAAGACAACTTCATAACAGGAGGACCAAATTTCAATGAACAGAAGCTCACGATTTCAATACTATCTTGCAAGAATGGACTCACCTTCCGTCTCTAGCATATGACATCTGCTTTAAACAAAGGAAACAGAGGCCCCAATCAAAACCTTAAAAATTAAACATGATAAAACTGCCCTACTTGCATCCAAAAGTAAACAAAAAGGACATAATAAAAACTAAAATGATATATACAACAATTGATTTACGTTCATGAGCTAATTTTAAAGTAAAATTCTCAAGGTATTTACAACAGAAGAAGGGGTGTAGAAACGAGCCTACTTAAACAGAAGACTATTATTTTCCAATCTTGGTTTGATATCCTTAATGAGCTCCAAATTGGGTTTGAGCTCAATTTGATTATTATTCAAGCTAAGCTCAAATGCGCATCCACCCAAGTAGTACTTCCTAAATGATAGAGAAAGAACGACTTCAAAGTGGAAACCGATTAAACGTCTTCAAAGTTGAGACTGATTATAGTTTATGAGAGAAGAGATAAAGAAAAAAAGGATCATCAAACAAATATGAAGAATGTAAAAGAGAAATTAACTCAATAGTGCAACCATTTTAGACCCCCGAAAGGGAAAAAGGCGTGATTTTGACAAGGAAAAAAAGATGAAATCAGCCTCAAACGATCTTAAAGAGGAACAAAAATATTTTCTTTTTCCCTAAAAGAGCTGATAATATTCATAGGCTTCACAAATTAGCATTCTTTACTTATCAGAAGCTGAAATGAACATTTAATCGGGGGGGGGAAAAATAGAAAAGAAAAACAGAGACAAATTTCCTCTAACAGATATCAAATTTCTGTTTCGAAGCAAAAACAAAAAATTCATATGCAGATTTTGTTTAACAAAAAAGTCCAAAAATGGGACGAGATGAAGTGAAGCTGACCTTGATTTCGATTTTAATTTTGATTGAGAAGAACCGGAGAGAGTGAAGATGAAGCCCTAGCGCATGAGTAGGGTCGTTTTGTGGGTGAAATACCGAGTCAAAGGAATCATCCCATAGAGTGAATTCCGTTTTTGGCCCTCGTGTTGCCAAGGTTGAGCGAGTTTAATTATCTGTAGATTAGTTTCTGCCCAAAAGTTAAAGGAAGGGCAACTTTAGGTACCCCAACCTTAAAAAACCGCCAACGCATGTCGATTGGGGCTACCTTTTCCTAAAGAATTTGCATGTTTATGTTTTGAAACTCAGACCGACGACAATTATGGTCAAGGTTAGGGGTCAAGGTTAGGGGTCAGTGGTCAATAAATTCGATTCGATCGAACTTATTCAAGAATTGGATGACGTCCTCATGATGTCATAAATATATTTAATTTTAAAAATTAATATATTATGTAAAAATTCTAAAAATATATTAATACTAAGAAATATATATTCAATGTATGCTTGATGTTTCTAAAATACTTTACAAGAAAATACAAATAAAGTAGTATAATTAAGTAGCAATTTATGCAATTTATAATTTAATGCATATTTAACAAGCTTAGAACCTTCGGTTACCGTTTGGCAAAAAAAACAAGTTTAGAACCAAATTGGAGGGCTTATTTGAAAAGTAATACAAAAATTTAGGGCTATAGTTATAAGTTCTAAAATGTTTCTAGGTGTAATAATAGTTTTCTAATACTCTAGGGGTCAACTCATAAAATCTATAAAATATTTCTAGGTGAATTTTTTACTTTTTTTTTAATGTTTTATCCCTTTTTTAACTTAGATCTTCCATTGGAGTTGTTTGAGAGAAATTTATGATAAGATATGTGAAAAGATTTAAGAACAGTTAAAATAAAGAATCAAAAAAGGAAAATAGAAAAGGTCAAAAAGGAAAGATGGAAAAAAAACTTGGTTCGAAGGTTCTTTCGGTTTCCGGTCAAACTCGATTTTTGACCTATTTGACTGAGTTTTTGTTTCACGGTTTTTTTAAGACAACTTAGATCGGATGCCTACCCGATTTTTGGTTCAATCGATTGAATTGGTTGGTCCCGTCCGAGTTTCAAAACACAGGTTTGAATCTCCGTATGGATTTGAGCGGGTAATAATTAGATAATAAGTATAACTGGGTCAACCCATTACTCATCAATTAAATGAGTGTAATTGGGTACCATTTAGACCTATTCAAAATTAATAGGTAGGTTATTGGTGAGTAGATTTGGACGAGTCAACATAATTAAGTTGTGACCTCAATGTTGAGTTGTGTTAGTAAGTAATCTCTACTTAGCATGCATGTGACTATGCCCTGTTTGGAAAACTAGTTTTTTACCTAGTTTTTCTCTTACAAGTTTTTAAATAATTTTAACTATAGTAACCTAAAAAAATTTTTCAAAAATTTTAAAATACACATTTCAAAATATCAAAAAACACAGAAAAATTTCAACTCTTTTCCTTTTTTCTTCTTCCTCGCCTACCTCAACCAGCCACCACTTTCACCGTTGGTTGACATTCTTTCCGGAGCCGGCAAAAGTAGTTTCTCTATTTTTTTTCCTTTCTCTCCTCCCTCTCCCTTTCCTCCTTCCTCTTCCTCTCCCCTCTCCCCAGCCACCTCTCTCTTCCGTTTCCCTCCCCCTTGGGCAACTAGGAGAGGGGGAGAGGGAAGAGAGGAGAGAGAGAGGGAGAGGGAGAGGGAGGGGTGAGAGGAAAAAGAAAAAAACGGTTGCTACTATTGCCGTCGTCAGCGGCAAGTGAGTTGTGAGGTGAGGGAGAAGAAGAGGAGAGGAAAGAAAATGAAAAATAAAGAAAGAAAAGGAAAAGGAAAAGAAAATAAAAGGAATTTTACATTTTAAAATTTTTTCTACAATAAGTTACAATAAAGTTTTACACAAATATCCAAAAAACTCATTTGTCAAAGGGGGGCATATGACTCTAAAAGCATGCTTTGACTGTAACAGTGACTAAAGTCAAAACCATCCCAACTTTTTGTTATTAAGAAAAAAGAAAAATTCAGACAAATAGTTCATCATATGGTGACCTTGTATATTTTATGTCACTTACATATAAAATGATGATTTTTCATCATTTTACATGTTGGTTTCGTATCTTTTACGTCTCTCACTATGAAATAATGAATTTTCGTCTCTCATAAATTGAAAAAAAAAACATATTTTTAGTCCCTTGGTTTATTTTTACTAATATTCTTGTCGGGAAAAAAAATCATATGTTGCTCATGTTTCACAAATTTTGAGATAAAACCAGAAGATTGAAGGGAAAAAGAGAAAAAACTATACATTCCTCATAGTTTTTTCTTCCTTATCCTATTTTTCTAGTCAATAATGGCAATGGCCACGGTTACTTTCCATCACCGTGCTAATGCTGTTGTTGTCGGTCGGCAACTTTTTTATTAAGTGAGTTTTTTGAGTGTTTGTCTAAAATTTTATTGTAGATCACTGTAAAAGTTGTAGAAAAACTTTTGTAAAATGAATTTTTTTTCCTTTTCATTTTCTTTCTTTCTTTTTCTTTTTTCTTTTTTTTCTTTCTTTCTTTTTTCTTTTCTTTCCTCCCTTCTCACTTCTTCTCCCATCCCCTTCCCCTTCCCTCCCCTGTTCCCTCTCCCGAAACTGCCGATGAAGCAACAAAAGAAAACTCTTTTTTTTTTTTGGCTTTTTTACTCTCCCCCTCTCCTGCCCGCCACCCCTCCCTCTCCCTCCCCCGCCACCTCTCTTCTCCCTCTTCCTCTCCCCTTCCCCCTCCCCCTTCTCTTGCCCGCTAACTCTCCGTCCTCCCTGGCAGATGAAGCAACAACAGAAACCTTTTTTTTTTTTTTGCAATTTTCCCTTTCCCCCTCTCCACTTTTCCCCCGCCACCCTCACCCTTCCCCGGTGCAATTTGGTCTCGTGACCAGATCGGCTAGACGGGGAAGGAAAGGGTAGTGGGGGAGGAGTGGGGGAGAAGGAGAGGGAGAAAAAAAGGGGAGGATCAAATCGGGCAAAGGGGAAGGATGGTGGGGAAGGATGGTGGGGAAGGAAGATGGGGAGAGGGAGAAAAAAAAAAAGGAAGACCGGTACCGGAAGAGGTGATCGGCGCCGAAACTGGTGGCGGAGGTGGTGGTTGGCGACGGAGGTGGTGGTGGGTTGGGGTGGGAGAGGAAGAAGAAGAAAAGGGGAAGGTAAATTTTTTTATGTGTTTTGGGTATTTTGAAGTGTGTAGGTAAAAAATTTTGAGAAGTTTTTTTAAATTACTATAGCTAAAGTTGGTAAAAAAATTAGTATAAGACAAACTTGAGTAAAAACTCAAGTGCCAAACAGGCCCAAAATTTCACAAAAATTTAACTTCCCACTCAAGTTTTAGTATAGAATTTGATTTTTGATATTTGTTTTAACAAAAAATAAACAAATGTTGGTAGAAAAATAGAAGAAACATTGTACATTGAATTTGATTTTGGTGTTAGTACCGTATTTTTTATAAAATTTTACTGCTAATAGTAAAAATAATGGCATATTTTTTCGATATTAACTATGCCAAATTTTACCTATCACTATTTTTTTAATTTTTTACCTATTTTTGTTCTTTTTTTTTTTTTGCAAAAACTAATGTTAAAATTAGATTCTACGTGAAAAACTGAGTGAAAAAGTTAAATTTTGTGATGGATAGTGGTGGCAATCAAGGGCAACATTGTCAGTAGTCGGAGCAGTCATGACTACTGCCACATTCTTCGCTAGAAAAATACGATAAAGAAGAACGAAATGTGGCAGACATTTTTCCCTTTTTCCCTGAAATCTTCTAATTTTGTTCATAAAGTTTGCAAAGTATGAGGTGTATTTTCCCACCAAGAACACGAGTAGATATCATTGGAGGGACTAAAAGTATGCGTTTTTCATTTGTGAGGGACAAAAAATCATTATTTCATATGTAAGGGATGAAAAAAAGGTACAAAAACCAATGTATGAATGATCATTTGTATGGTTTCTCCTAAAAAAGTACACATATCATACAAAGGGAATAGTAATTTGAAAAAAAAAAGTGCCATTTAAAAAGGGTGACATGAAATTTTGGTGTTAGCTGGTTCAAGAATTCTCACAGTACTAGAGACTCTTTTGCTAAATTTCTAGCGAATTTGAGTTTTCAAATATTTACTAAAATTTCACAATTGTAGAATTTAAAAATACATGCAATTGAAGTTATGATTCTGACATGCTAATCTTAATGTTTTGATCTTTTGTGTAATCTATTCCAAAGAGAATAAGATAAATTTGAATTGTAAACATTGCATATTTTGCAGAGATACTTTTCTTTCGGACTTGAAGTATATACTTATCATCCCTATCCTCCGAAAGTTTGAAAAAAAATATAAAAAGATGAAAAAAAGAAGAAAATACTTCCATTCCTACATTTTTTTTAACATTCAAGATAGTACAAAGATTGATCAAATTCAAGAATTTGGAGCACTAATAATTGTGGTAGTATAATTTTATATCCACTCTACCCAGCTAGTAAGTGAAAATTCGGTCACACTTTAGATTCATTACTTTTCCTTCTCAAGTACTAGTAGCGTGCACAAAAAGATCTTCGACGGCTAGTCTACTGAACTGTTAGAGATCTTGCATCATCTTCCACTGCTTCACTGCCACCACCGTCCAGAACAGTTGATCTTGAGCAAAGGAAGAAGAAGGCAGATGTATATATGCTCACATGCCAAGCACTGCAAAACCAATGCTCAACTAGTCAGTAATACAATAGTGTTTGGTTTTGTGTAATTAGATGGAGTACAGCAGTAATGAGAGACTGATTAACATACCTGTGCCAAATCCAGGATGTCTCGAGGCTTTCCATATCCCAGCTCAATGCAGCTATCGACATTGCAATGAGGCCGGCCAACACAAATCGCCATTTGAAACGCTTATTGAGCGCCTTTTTAAGATCAGGCAACCATGACCTGACCCTGAGCAATCTAGACAAGTTTAAAAGTTTTTCAATAAAAAGGATGCAGGAAACTGAAACAGAAACAAGTTGTGGAATCACAAGGATTTTTGGTGTGCAATGAATGGAATCCGACATACCTATGCTGAAAATTCCAATTGGATCTCGGTGAATTAGACTTGAATGCACTGAAAAGTTTCATTATAATGCAAACAGTAGACCCAAAGCTCCAATTGCCAGTACAAGAGGAATATTTCTTGACCTGCACAGTTCAGAGGGAATAATTTTGCTTGGAGAAGGAAGGTATATATTGGAAATCTGATCTTGATAGGGTAGATGGTATTTAATAGGACATATTTGGTTGGACCATTTATGGCTATCAATGCTGTAACAACTGAGGAGATGGTGTGTGTTGTTCTTCTTAAACCTTCATTGATGAAGGTTAGATAAATGAAGGTGCTTACCACAGCCATAAAAGACAGCCAGGAGTCCATGAACTACATACAGAAGCAGCAGCCAGTTCTTCATCAGTATCTTACAAATAAAAGTATCAGTGCAAACAACAAAGGCACAACTGCTGCTATCTATATGTTACACTTGCGCAGATATCAATTGTTTTTTGTTTCTCAGAACAGTGTCTTCGATTGTGAAACTCCAAAAGCTAAGATGGTACTGTGGAATATTAGTATAACGTCTACTCTAATTCGCCAAAAATCGATAATTATCAACTGTGATGTACTATAGTTCAATCCAGATTACCTGTAGGACCTGAAATGGAAGAGCACACCAGCTACCCACATCGCAGGCATGATATACAGCACTAGCAACCCCACAGCAGGTAAAGACTGCCCAGTCTGCAAGTGCCTGCACAAAAGTAGGATAGCAAATCATATAGGGTATGTTACCTTCCCGTGAAATGCACGAGTAACCAATTAAATTTCTTAAATCTGCTATTTTGTGTTAATCCCTGTAACTCAATATTCATCTGTTGATCCTTTTCTACCATATACCTTCTGGCGGAGGGCCCAAACTTCAGGGAATAGTGCTGCTGCGTTGGATGCCGCGAGAAAAATTACATGCCATCTTTGTGCTGAATAAATATAATGAAGCAGATATGTTAGAGAAAATTTTCAAAGGGATCAGGATCAGCTCAACGAAACTAGCTTTGGAATCCCATCTTGATACGAAAACCAACTGATGCATTTCCCGGTGATAGTTTCAGCTAAAAAAACAATTTCTTTTATGATATTAAGGTGCGAGCTACATGTAACCTGACTGTGATACGAGTTCAGTACTGCAGTCAAATCCTCCGTATCTTCCATTACACTTGCAAAAGTAGTAGAAGTATCTGAAAGCCATATAACCAGGCATAAATTAAAAACAAAACTCACGATAAAAATATCGGTTCATCTACATTCCAGAATTCTCTAAGCGATAATTTTAGAATTTACAATTATGAAGCAAAAAGGCTTTTTAAACTTAGCATCTGGATGTGACTAAAGTGAAGTGAGAAATGGTCAGCTGAGATTGATAACAAAATAATTCTATAGGTGTGGTTGAAGTAGTAAAGATCCCGTTGGGAAAAAAACAAGGTGGGTGATTGATTCACATCCTCATCATTGAAGTCTAGGAACGGAGAGATTCCTATTTCTCGGACCACTGAAGACTGAAAATCGACAAAGTTTGGTGCTCAGTTTGCACAAGGAAGTGCAAGTGATGGAATTTCTTTGCTAAAAATGTAGTGTGCGTTACCCGTAGGGGCTTGGTCCCTCTGTCTTCTTGTTGGATTTACATGTCCCATGATCAGAGCAATGATTCGGGCAACTTTCAACTGAAACAGACAATACAGTTCTGGAAAGAGGATTACTTAGCATTGGATGCCTCAGCCCAAAACTCCAGATTCCTTCTCTGGGGTATAGTAGGTAAGCGTTTACTGTCCTTGCACTTGCACCGTACAATTCGAACATGGATGAGCCAACACCACTATTGTTCGTCTGGTTTATGTAAAAGAAGTCCCAATCTCTCATTGATGGTAGGGTAGCCCACCAAATCGCACATACAGTTCATAGTTTATATTTGTATTGGCACCGATATTAAGATGCAATGTTTTGTCCAGAAATACCTTGTTGAACATCGAAAACAAAATAAGTCCAAGCAAAATCTGATTCATTGTGAGCTGAAGTATTACTTAAAAGAGGCTCCAAAGGAAGATTATGCAACTCCACGGGAATCTTCACATGATTGGGCTATAAACAAAAAATGCATCCGTATTGTCTCCTGGAACCACCTGCACGAGAAGAAAACTAATCATTCATAAGGCCCAAGCTTTTCGGAGATAGTGAAGCTATCAATTGTATAGAAGTCAAGTCCTGCTTTGTCTGCGCATCATCACTCGAACAGCATATAACAAGCAAACAAGAAAGCAAAAGGTATGGTTTGAGATTCATGGATAAACCCTGATAGATAGATACAAAATAGAGATGGAGAGGCAGGAAAACATGCATGGGACCCGACGTTCACAACTCTTCATTTGTGTGCGAAGAAGATTCAGAAAAAGAAGCAAAATGAAGCAGGGTCATAAGCATGGTTCAAAGTCACGGTCATGGCCGGACCATTCCACATTGGTCTCGGCATATCAATCACGGTACTGGCGAGACGCAAATTTTAGAAATATTTAATATTTTAAAAATTGTAAACAATATGATAAACAAAAATAATTAAAAAATTAGCAAAAATAATAAAAATTCAAATTGACTCGGGATGACTTTGACCGTTTCTATTCGTCTCGGAGACGTCTCGACTGAGTTCTCGGCGATTCATTGTTTTGGAATTATCTCGTTTCGGTATCAGATTGGGAAGTCCCGTTCTGGTGACGACTCGGCCGAGTCGTTTTGGTTTCGGCTGGGTCTTTAAACCATGGTCATAAGGAAAGCAAAAAGAATATTCAAAAATAGAAGCAAAGTAATTAGGGTGCATTTATGATACTAGATTAGGGCTGCAAACGAGCCGAATCGAGTCGAGTTTTGACCTAATCGAGTCGAGTCTCGACATAATTTCATTGAACTCGAACTCGAACTCGACGAGTTGACAATTTCAAGCACGAGCTGGAGCTCGAAAAAAATAAAAAATAATTATTTTATTTTTTAAAAAATAAATAAAATAATTATTTTTTCTTAATAAATAATAAAATATTAAGGATATATATGTAATTTTACTATTAAAATTAAAAATATATAAAAAATATATATATACTTAAAATAAAAAAATAAAAAAATATATACTTAAAATAAAAAAAATAAAAAAAAAATATGTATACTCGAGCTCGCGAGCCGGCTTAATATTTTGAGCTCGAACTCGGCTCGAGCCGCTCGATTCGTTTGCAGCCCTATGTTAGATAATCAGACTTTGTTAATATGGAACTTTTCAGATGCAGCAGAAGTTTAATTTAAAAAAAAAAGATTTTTTTTTAAAACTTTGAAAAATTCGTTAATTAAACTTTACCAAGTTTGATTACAACGGATAACGCGAACCTCTCTGAGGGTGGGATTGGTGTGAAAGAATACATCGCATTGTAAGTAGCGGTTAGACAATAATAGGATATGATGCAAATAGATATCAACCCTTGATTGGCAATGTACTAAATGCCGCCGTATGCAGTTAAAGCTGTGTCTCCATTCGTTGCTCCTGTCCTGCACTTAATGTTGATTCTCCATACATGTTTTAATACTTTGCAGAGAAGAAGTAGAACCCAAACTGAATGAATAGTGAATCTACCAAGTGAAGTATTCATTCTATTTACTCCTCATGGCTAAAGCCTTGGGTAAAATGCTTGGAAACCACATTTTGTTTTAGCCCCTCGTAAGTAAGGCGAGGGAATAGAAGTGAATCCTGAAGCATTTTCACCTGCTCGTGAAATTCTTAAAATTTACGCTCCGAACTGCATCTTTGGTACCCAAAAGGGTAAAAAAAAAAAAAAAATCCCGCTCGTCGTCTGATCTTTTGCAGTAACGTAACTGTCATTATAATAATTTCCTAGCAGATCATCCTTTTTCTTCCAGAGAGAGAGTAGCTTATTTCGTTCCTAAAGCTAAATGATTGTTACATTTCTATTCAAGTGGTAAAATTCACAAGCTCCAATCAGGTTGTGATAACAATAATAATATAAAATAAAATCATCACGACAAATAGAAACACCCGTCGAATTACCTCGTCAACCGCTACATGCCCTGGCTGCACCTTTGGAAATTTAAAATTTGGATAGACATCTAGAAAGAATAAAAATCAGCAAATTTCCTTTTGTGGATACATGGGAATAATTTTACATTTCATCAAAATTCTGTGCAATAAGAAGACTATAGAATTCAGCCAGATGTGGTCGAACTAATGGACTCTAGAAAGCTAAGAAGTAGAGGTTGAAGTAAAACAACCAAGCGGGAATCTCAGTAGCCTACAGATTTTACACAGGAGAAAAGAGAAAGGAAGACACGCTCATCGAATAGTAAAACCAAAACTGAATCAGTAGACGAGAGGAAAATCATCAGGAAGAATACATATTAGCTCTTGAGAAGGTTCTCGAGGGCTTCAAAGAAAAGTGGAGCCAATTCAGGACTAGGCGTTTTGATTGCACACTTCAGACCAGGTATTCCAATAACAGCTGTGATTTCAATTAAGAAAGGAACTCCTCTCGGAATTTTTGCAGAAAGATATAGCACTTCCTGGTTTGCGTGCTTGCGCTTGGCAATGAAAAACATATTAGAAGCAGCCAACCGATCCAGGGTTACTTCCACACTATTCATCACAATCCCTGGAAAGTCCTTTGATACCTCATTTGAATCAGGTAATGACTTCCATGTCTGCAACATGGATCAACACAACAATCAGTTTCAAGATATTTCTCTTTCTAACCAAACAATCATGAGTACACCTATAGCATTGTACCTCACACTGGATAAACAAATGACCATGTGGAAAATATAGACGAAATACATGCTTCACAGTACAAGGAAATGTATACGAGGATAATGTTAACAAACATGCTATGAAATGCAAATTTCAATCTGCAGCTCTTAGTTTACATTGAATATCTGTTTGCAACCTAAAGTTGATTTTCAGAAACTCAAAGGACATCTTTTGAGCTTTCACCAAACTGCAAGTAATCCCAACAAAGAACACATGCAATAGCATACAAATAATTGCAGGTAATACTAATGGCTGGAATTGTTCACAGAAGCATGGTAGGGGCTAATGCTTCAGTTACCAAACAGTCAAACCCCAATGACAGACATGATCTAAGAAACCTTCTCCGTTTACCTCAAGAAAAGTGCTGCGTTCCATTTTCCCATCCTCGGCAAAAAATACCAGGAATGATATTGCATCACTGAAGTACCATACAGGCTGTTGATTATTTTTCACAGCAACTTGCAGAAGTGTACTCGGAGGACCAGGGGATATATTCTGGTGCAGAACCATAGGCAAAAGGGTACTTGCAGAAGTCCCAGGCTGCAATTGGGGAACCTAATAGACAAGAAGATGTTAATAATACAGAGAAAAGTGGTACATAAAGGTAAAGTGAGAACTAGTTCACTATTCCAATTTGAAAGATATGTAAGATGGATCTATCTAAGAACGTCCAGAAATGAAATAAGACTTTGAGTAACAACCTGCAGTGGTCCACCAGCAGCAAGGCCAAATGTATTCTTGTTAAATTGGATCATGAAACCATCAAGTGGAATCTGGGAGTCGTTCTCAAACAACATGCTGTAAAATACTTGTCCATCTCTTCGTACAAGCTGCGCGCTGATTTGTAAACCCTGACCAGTAGCAGCTGGTAATAGAACAGGCAAAGGAGGGCTGCATTTAAAGATTGCTTGTTAGAGTTCTTGCCATAACCAGTCTACAAGAGTTTAAAATAAAATAACACAAAAGTAACTCTTCTGAAATATCCAGTTTAACATTTATATAGGCCCTATGTCTGCTTCATCTAACACAATCTTACACTTAATCGCAATATCACATGAGGGCAGGGTACGTACCCAGCAGGAGTTGCAGGCTGATCAACAGACACAATAGCACTGCTATTATCCAAGCCCAAGTCAAGCAAATCAGGCACAAGTGCAGGAGCTGCAGATGCAGCTGGAGCAGCCACTGCCTCCCTTCCTACATACTGCGCAGAACTTGAAGAAGCTGGTGGTGAAGTACTGCTGTCAGGTGCATAGGCAGGTGATTCAGAATTTCCTGTTTCACTTCCATCAGCAAAGTCATCTTCCTCAGTTCTCTGAGAGGTCTTAACACGAGTTACAAATGCTTCAGCCGGCTTGTGATAGACAGAGGATAAAGTAGCTATGTTTGCTAGAAGCTCATCAAGTAGAGATGGGTCAAGTTGATTTGAGTCATCACTAATCACAGGCTTTTCAGCTAGCACGACGTCCTTCGCTGCCTGAGAGACATAAAGAGTAGGTCCTTACATTGTTAAGTGAGTTTTGCACTATATGCTACACGTGTTCTGAAATAACTTTCTACTACCGCAACATAGTAAAATGCAATTTCCAGCAGCATAGATCAGTTGATTTAACATATTTTTCTCTCATTAAAGATTTGATGGATACAAGGGTGGACAAATAAAGTGAGGCAAAGTTGCACACCTCTGGATCAGTTGAGAGAAGACGCCAATATATGTAGGCACGATCTCGCAAATCAGGATTGTCAGTCTCCACTGTTGCATTATTCAACACAACCTACGTGTAAAAGACATAGAGAAGATGCATATGAAAAACAGTATATAGAGGGCAGGACTTGAGAAGTGAAATGAAACCATGCTTCTAATTAAGAACTGCACCCTTGCAAATGAAGCAAAAAAGAAATCTTCCAATGATTAAAAGCAAAAAAGAAGAAGAAGAAGAAGAAGAAGAAGAGGAGAGTCTTTTTCACATTCTCCTTGTAAAATTACAGACTGTTTTCCAAACACTACTGATAATTATCAAATGCAGACAGAAACCACATTAAGTTGCATCAAACATTATATCATAACCTGAGAGTGTATTCATTAAATTCTCCTTATTTCCAGATCATGGAAGAGGATACAAAAGCAAATGAAACAGGACAACTTTCACAGAAAAAACCCTGCCTTTTTTTTGTTTTTTGTTTTTTTTGGCGTTGGGGGGCAAATCCATGGAGGTCAAATTCACCATGGAATAGTCATGCCTAAGTATATCTACCTTTTAGGGCATTGGCATAAAGTTGATAAACTCATAATCCAAAAGATTAGAGCAGCTATTCCAATATCCACATATGAATATCCCTGCCAAGCAACGAGAAGGGACAAAATACCTGAATCATCTGTTGTGGGCCTTCAGTTGGTTTTTTAAGGAAAAGTTTGACCGTTGCTGTGAGCAACTGCAATTGGACTTGTGCAGGTT